CTTCAATTGTATAGCTTCAAAGCATTCCTCTTTGATAGTTGGTTGATTACAGACCTGAAAAAAACAGGTAGGGAGAGACCATCATATTACAGTTGCTAACTACTTGGATCATATTTTGGGTTGTCCAGTTGTGAAACTTGTTCTTGCAAGCTTTTGATCAATCTAGAGCTTACATTTCAATGAAATAGGATGGGTCTTGATTGCCTAAATGGTATACCTTGTCCATTGATCACAGGACACTATTTTGGGTAGTTAACAGTGGGGCAGAGCCTGAAATACTCTGAACCAGTGATGGTCTGCAGAGACATTTGCAAAACCCCAAACAGACATTGAATGCCTGTTCCAAAAAGTATGCCTTAATCAAGTGAGGATGTGTCAGCAAAGAGGATAGTCATATTGGGATATACAATTATTTATTAATGGTTTAGCATAATAATACATTGGGTACATTTGCAACTAGCACAGGAGATGAAAGCAATTGGGATTGCTTAATTTTACATGGTCCCAGTCACGATCTTGCATTCTTGTACAAGATGCACTGTTAATTTAATTTGGTCATTTAAATTTCATGTGTAGGTCTGGCCAAGCTTTCATGGTCATCATCACCATTTTCTCTGGGGTAACAGTTTAATGTAGAGCCCATCATAGTGTAGGTACAGTTTGAGTTATTTTTGTCCAGGTGCATCAGTTTACACTTAACTACTTTGAAGTTGCATCTGCCATTTAGTTGCCCATTTGCTCAGTTGTGCCAGATCCTTCTGTGGTCCCTCACAGTCTTCCTTGGCCGTTACTGCTCTGAATAATTTCGGCAGATTTGGCCACCACACTATTCACCCCCTTTTCCAGATCCATTTATTAACAGCACTGGTCCCAACACAGATCCCTGGTGGACCCCTCAGTTTACTTGTTTCCATCCTGAAAACTGAGACCATTATACTTACCATCATAATTATGTGCATTTTGTCTTTGAGCCAATTTTTAATCCACAAGTGGCTGTTCTCTGTAATCTCATGACTACATAAGTTAATTAAGACCCTCTGATGGATGGGGGACCTTGTCAAAGGCTTTTTAGAAATCCACTGTCAGTTGGATCACCCCAGTCAACCCACTCATTAACACTCAAAAACCCAACAAAAAGCCAACAACAACTTTAGTAGGTTGGTGAGGGCTGATTTTTTTCCCTGTAGTCCCCTCCCCCCCTTTCTCCCCTCCCCCCTTTGACAAAGCCGTGTTGATTCCTCCCCAGCAAGTCATGTTCTTTCACAGGCTGAACAATTGTTGTTGTTGTTGTTGTTGTTGTTGTTTTACCAGTTGTCCAGGAACAGAAGTTAGGCTCACTGGCAAATGAGGGTCTACACACACAAAATTACTTCATAAGACACAGGGAACTATAGGCCAATGTCTTGAAATAATTTTACTTTTGACCAATGAACAGTACAGAGTAGACTGAGAATTTCCTTTATTGCCTTTGCTTGTTCTCATAAGCCCCTGACACGCATTGCATTTAAGATGTGAGTAACAGTTTAACTGTGCATTTAATAGTAACCTGGCCAAATTTTGCAAGTCAGTTTAAGGTGCGATACAAACAAGCCACAAAGTTATTCCACATTAAATGTGGAATATTCCAGTGGAATCCCAGCATCAGGCTGCCTCTATGCACTAGGAGCTATAAAACTTCCTATGCACCCAGATCTGTCCAGAACTTTTGTGCTTCCCAGCTGGATGTCAAACATGGTTTCATAGCTCCCGGTGCATGGGGAGTCTGGTATTGGGCTGCAGCAGCCAGTGCCTGGGTCCTTGTGCATGGGGACCTGTCTAAACCCTGTGGGCCACTTAGCTGGGTGGCACATATGGTTTTTATAGCTGCCATTGTGAGGGGAACCTGGCACTCAGCTGTTGCAGTCCAATCCCAGGGTCCCTGTGCTTCCTAGCTGGGGTTTTGATGCTCAGCTGATTGGTGGCTGTGGTTGCGAACCAGTTTTGTTCCCGGTCCTAATTGATGATCAGCTGATTATAGGCACCCTGGCTTCATCTTGCTGTTGCATGGGGAACCCAGACTTACGGTCCTGGACTCCCCCTGCACCAGAAAATAAGGTGCAATTGGCATCTTCTCCCTGATCCCAAAATCACACAGGTATGGCAGGTGGTGTGATTGTTAGAATCGTGGGTTAGATCACATCGCATCCTAAAGTAAATATTCATCAGGGGCCATTTAAACAAAAAATACTGAAGCCTGTACATTATATTTCAGGCTGTTGTTTGGAAATAGTCTGGCAAGTTCTGGGTTTTCTCATTTAACAAAAAAAATTGTGGCTTCCTCAAGCCAAAAGCTAAAATTTGCATTGGCATGCTGAAAAGGAAACCTAATTTATTTTCAAGTAAAAACTTTGATTATCCCCACTGTTTCATCTTTGAACTGTTTCCTTAGCTAATTAGTGGGTAGAGGGAAATTTTGATATACTTTGGGACATCTGTTTTTGGTACATAAAGTAGAAGTACTGCAATGTTCACATATCTACAGATTTCTGTGAATGAACAATAAAGTTGGACTCTATTCTCCTTGGAGGCAGAGGGGGATGGAGTGGGGTGGGGGGGTGAGGCCAGCCCCCCCCCAGCCATGGTGGAGTGCCACCATAATAATGGGGATGGATTCCGTGGCATCTTTGAGCTTTAACATATCTTAAATAAAAACTATATATAGGTTTTGTGTTTTGTTTTTTTTTAAAAGCATCTTAAAACAAAGTATGATTAAATAAAAAACTTATTTAAATAAAAATCTGATTATCTTCATTTTTAAAAAATTCGTTGATTTTTAGCCATCCTGTTTAGCTCTAATATCTTCACTGTAGAGGTCAGTTGAGCATTGTCCTTTATTCAAGTCTTGTATAGAGGTGCGCTGATACATTGGTCTGACATCAGATCAATCCAATATAAAGAAAAATGGCTGTATTGGATAATTTGGCTGATAAATGCCCATGCTGTGCTCAGCTGCAGCGCAGCACTCAGGCAGTGAGGAGCACAGCCGGCAGCGTGGAAAGTCCAGTGTGGTGGGAGGGAAGGGGAGTGGGGGTGGCAGATCAACGCCCCCTGTGGTGAGGAAGGAGGCGGGGGCAGGTGCTGCCCAGGCAGAGCCGTGCAACTCATGCGGGTGGGGGAGAGGAATGGGGAGGGTGGCTTCTCCTGCTGCTGCTTGCACCCTGGGAGGGCATGGGGGGGAGGGGGCTGCAGCCAGGTCTGCATGGGGCTCTTCTTGGCGGGGGTTAGGCTTAGAGTAGGCACCAGCGGTGCTAGGACGATGCTGCATCCACCTCAAATTTTGCCACCGCTCTGCTTCCAGTGCCGCAAGCCGCCCAGCACGCCCCGGCTCTTCCCAGCGTGTGGGTGGAGGCAGGCCATTGAGGCGGGGCTGGGAGCAGAGTGGTGGTGAAGTTTGGGGTGGATGCAGCATCCTCCCAGTGCTGCCGGTGTCTGCTTTGAGCCCAGCCCCTGCAGAGAAGAGCCAGGTGCAGCCCACCCCACCTCGCACAAATCTGGAGGGCAGATGGACCTCCCCACCACCCCACTGGGATGCAGGCAGCAGCGGGAGCCATCCCCATGGCCTGGGCAGTGACTGACCCTGCCCCGTCCCCTTCTACCACACCAGATTTATAAGCTGGAGGCAGCTATATCGGAAATCATATTGGTATTGGCCAGTATGCCTCCTTAAATATCAGCTATTGATGGTGGCCCCAAAAATCTATATCGGTGTACCTCTAGTCTTGTCCCCACATGCAGGGGCAGTGAGAGTATACATGAGAACACTAAGATTGGTTGGCTCATTGGAATGTACAAGTTAATTTTGAGTTATTAGGTGATTAGTGATGCCTATATAATTTTATGTGGATCCAGACTAGTTCCACTCAGGTACCTCAAGCTGGCAGTGCCCTTTCGTAATTCATTTCAGAAATCACAAATGACGCTTCCCAAAAATCACTGGGAAGAAATTCATGGAGTGGCCTGACTTATGGCAGTACAAAGGAAAATGAATTATGCTCCCAGACATCTTAATGCTGTGCATAAGTCAGCACAATTCCAGAGTGGACTCAGAAGTTGAAGTGATTCATTGTAACTGCTTTCTCCTTTAGGCCAGTTTGAAAGAAATAATTGAAGTTACCTTGTCAGTGACCACTCATCTGGAAAACATTTTTCATAAAAACCCTCAAACTTGGCTGCTCTAGATGTTTCAAGTGTTATTTTATAAGACTTTGTTGATGTTTTACTAGCAGGGCTCTCCTTTGTCAGGCATGATTTAATCCAACATTTTCTTTTTCTTCTTAGCACAATAGGATGTCCCACTTCATCATGACTTTATTCTTCCCCCAAATGCAGTAGATTTCTTCTTTGTGATTTCTGCAAAGCAATGAAGCATGTGCTTAAGTCCTCTGTTTCGCTGGGGCTTTTTTGGTTATGCAAGTAACTGTCATTTGGAGGATAAAGAGGATAACTTTAAGTAAATATTTTGCTTGTCTGCCCTCACTAGCAAAACTGATAGGATGGATACATGTGACTCTTTCTTTTTGTATTAAAAAGAAACTCTTGACCTATAATGACTTGAGAAGTCATAATTACACTCTGATTGTCTTTTAAAGGAAGTAAGTACTGAGACCAGAGGAAAATGTTAATTAACTCACTCTTGTGTCAGTGACTGAATATTGGTACATTAAAACCAAAGATCAGCATTTTCAAAATCCAGATGTGTCTTATATTTGTTTTTAAATTGTCTTTGAATGCTAGTGATCTAGAGGCTGCTTGCACCTCAGCCTGAAATTGGTTTTGTTGCTTTTATTTTGAGACAAGTTTGCCAAGTAACCCATGTCTGGTGTTTGCTACACTGGTTCTTGAATGTTTGCTTACTGTTTTTAGGGCAGAGGGAGAAACCTGGAAGTAGCCTTGGTTACTTTATCTAGCACTAAATATTTTTAAGAGCTTCGGTTTGACATTTTGGGTTTCTTTCATTCTAGGTTCAAAGGACCTTGTGGTAAAAGCACAGGTTTTAGCTGGTGGTAGAGGAAAAGGAACATTTGAAGGTGGCCTCAGAGGAGGAGTGAAAATAGTTTTTTCGTAAGTTGCTTTTCTAAGTTATCAGTTGTATGGGGAAAAAATCTTTGGTCCACTTGTGGACTGAAATTTGTACTTCTCTGAACTATTAATTCACAGTAACAAATGGCTTTCATTATAAGTAGAACTATAAAAGCTAGTTACATTTATTTGTAAGCTACTTTTGTTGTTCCAGCATTTTCCTTGTCACACCTGAGCTTCTCTTATTCTAGTCCTGAAGAAGCAAAAGATATCTCCTCCAAAATGATTGGGAAGAAGCTGTTTACCAAGCAGACAGGAGAAAAGGGCAGGATATGCAATCAAGTATTTATCTGTGAGCGCAGATATCCCAGGAGAGAGTACTATTTTGCAATAACAATGGAAAGGTCATTTCAAGTGAGTAATCATAGAAAATAGTGCTCTGACAACAAATTTAGTATGTTTGGGATCAACAGAATATTAATGCTGTTATTCACATGGGTCTGTAATTTGAAACACAGACTTATGAACTCAACCTTTTGTTTGCTAGCATGACCTAGGACTGCATGGCTTTTTAAAATGCAAAAGCAGCTCACCCTAGCACAGTGCAATCAAAGGAATGCTTTGTGTTTGTAAAGCATAACATTTAGGTACTGTGTATTGTATGATTGTCATAGGAGGAAGGGAGCTGGTCAGACTTCTTGACTTCCCTTAATCACCAACAGTTAGATTCAAAGCAACTTAGCTACAGCCATCCTTTTCTAAAGACTTGAAGTAAGACTTAAATGGGTGTCTAAAGGAAAGTTCCTACATCCATATTCAAGAATTGTGGTGGCCTGATTTTGAAGGGCTGTATACTTAAAAAAGGAAAAAAATAACTGTTAAAAATCTCACATTTTATTTATGGTCCTGGACCTGCAACATGTTAACACTAGTGTTATTTACAGTGATATAAATTAACTTGGATATAAAATAAATATAGTCAGGATATCCCAGGGGAGCTGCAGCAGTGAGTGCTGCTATGGTATTTACCTCTAGGTTGCATTGTAGCCTGTAACTACCCCAGGATATCTGCATATGCAGTATTGCTGCATAAATTTATTTTTACTGCTTTTTCTTCCTTTACACTGGATTTCAATAAGTAACACTGATTTTAATGGGCTGTCATGTTTCCATGCATTTTGGACAAACTTTGCCAGAATCTTACACAGTAGCAAAATCACTGGTGGCCATCAAAAGGTAATTATTCTACATGTTGCTGTGCCTTCTCTGATCTGCAATCTGTTTGAAGGGAAGAAAGAAACTATGTCTTCTAAATAAGCCAGTCACTGGAATTTGATTCCTTCTCAGAGATAAGATTTGAAGCACATAGGTCCCTCCAGATCACTGTACGCTTTAATGCTAAGGATCCCTGGATGAGAAAGTACTGCTCATGGTAGGTCACTGGAAGAACATAAGTACTGTACTAGATGAAACTAGTCATCTATCTAGCCCAGTATCCTTTTTCAGACAGTGGTGGGAGTGGATGCTTTAAAGGGAAGGCATACAAACAGGGTATATCTAGAGTGATCTGTCCTGCATTATACCCTCCATGGCACCCAACACCATTGATTTAGAGATGCCAGAGGATACGTTCTTGACTGTTCCATTTAATAACTATGAATGGATATAGCGTTTCAAATTTACCTAGTCTGTTTAAACCTGGTTATACTAGCTGCCTCCACAACCTTTTGTGGTAATGAGTTCAAGTTAATTACATGCTGTTACAAAAAAACCCAAAAACTTTCTGTTAGTTTTAAACTTGTCTTGTAATTTCAGTGGGTGCTCCCTAGTTCTAGTTTTCTAGGACTAGGGGAACAGTAGTTCTGGGTTTACTTGGTGCACACTCTTCATGATTTTATAGACCTGTCTCATATTCCAGCCCCTCAGCCTTCTTTCTGTGCTGAAGTCCTAGCCCTTTTCAGTCTCTGTTAAACCCAAGTTTCTTCTGCTTTTAAAAATATGCAACAGTTTGCACATAACTAGATTTCTGGTACAGGATGGCTCCATGCACCTCACTTGGCAATGTAGCTGTCTCCTTGCATCACATTTTTTCCTTCTGTAAACTGCACATGGATTTGGGACCAGAGGCTTATCTCCAGTGCGTGCTAGAAGGTGACACCCGTAGACTTTTTTAGTTAAATCCTCCAATTTAAAGCAAAAGTACTTATAAAGTAACTTGATTCCTAAATACTGATCTGTCGAATCTGGTTTAGAGACCCATGCTTATAGCTGGTGATGGAATACATTTTGGACAAAATATTCAGAAGATAGTGAAGTGGGTTCTGTAAGTTTTCTCTCTCCACTCCACTCCTGCAGTTCTTAAAACTGGGGGATGGGAAAGTCTTCAGTGGTTTCTAGCCAGTAGTGAAGAGAAGTCTTGTAGAACTTCCCAAACTGTATTAATAAGAAAAGACTTGACTTGGACTTTATTGTGCTCTGTATGGGATTAACTCAGTCATACCCTTAGCTTTCTGATAGATTGTCAGTCCGCAAAGAAGGGATGAGTTAATTTGGAGGAGCTCTACTTCAGGTCTTCCTAAGTTGTGATTTTGAGGCATTTGAGAGTGCTTAGGATTTTCCATTTAATTCAAAGCAAAGAATTTCCAAAATGTGTTTACAAGTGATTTGTATTCTGGGTTTATAGGTGCCCAGTTCTTCACTTGAGTGAGAAATGTGCTGTTGTTTTCTTTCTTGTTCTAAGTAGGTTGTCTGTATAACCTTCATGAAACAGTGAATAATTAGATACTTGTTTGATAATTCTATTTTTCTATATGAAAAATAAATTAGTATTGCTTAATGATAGGGAATGTCCAGGGGGAAAAGGGCGATTTCCATGCTCTTAATGGACTGCAAGCAGTTTAGAGGTATTAAACAAAAAATGACAGGACCTGTATACACCCAATACTTCAGGTTCTAATCCACTGAATGAGTGAGTTTTATGACTGCTGTACCATTTGGAAAAGATATTTATCAGGAGCCCTAATACATGTGATGATACAAATAGATGTTAGGAACAGTGTGTATGTAGGGATGGGGAGTGAAGCTCACGTTTATACAACCTCTATGACTGGCTTTGACAGATGCATGTACCAGAACAGATTTTGTTTTTCAAGGTATTTATTTTTCTAGGCCATAGGATAATTGGAAAGTAGGGCTAAAAGGGATCTTATGAGGTCATCTAGTCCAGCCCCCTGCTAAAGGCAGGATCATGATCACTGACTAAATCAGGGGCGGGCAATTATTTCAGATGGAGGTTGCTTACTGAGTTTTGGCAAGCCATTGAGGACCACGTGACAGGCAGCCCAGGGCAGATAAATATTAATTCCCTACATTTTTTAGGGGCCCCACAGGCCAGGTAGAATGGCCTGGCAGGCCGCATCTTCCCCACCCCTGAACTAAATCATCCCAGCCAAGTGTCTGTCTAACCTGTTCTTGAAAACTTCCAGGGATGGAGATTACACCACTTCTCTAGGAAACTTGGTCCAATGCTTGACCCACCCCCATAGTCAGAAGGTTCTTCTTAATCTCCAACCTAAGTTTGCTCTGCAGCTTGAGGTCATTGCTTGTAATCCTGTCTCCTACAGCCACAGAGAAAAGCCCATCTACAAGCCAAATTGGTTTGCAGCACAAATCACATGGTTAAAGACCAGTGTTTGATCAAAAGCCTGGCTCTTGCAACTCCTTTGGTTAGAGCAATATTATTAGTCTACACACTTGTCTTCGGAGAGTATGTTCAGTGATCTTTCTAAGGTAGTTCCCTGTAGCTTACAAAGATATGATTTTTTTTGTGGGGGTGATGGGGGGAGACTACTAGTCTTTGTAGTTTCTGTGCAAATCTATTCCATTGGATGAATTGATAAATGGTTAACATCTTATTCCTTCTACTCTTAATGCTTTTCTTGATCCCTGTCCAAAATAGGGAACAGTTCTTTCCTTTTGTGTGTTTTGGTTAAAATGTGGCATTTTTCTCCTCTTAAACCATTTAATTTAATTGTTATGTTGTAAAACGGAGCATGTTCCCCTCCTGTGTACCACAAGGTGGCATTAGGACACTGGAAATGGTTATTATACTTTGTCCCCTAAAATTTTTCTACTTTTTAAAAAAAATAGGATGTTCATCTTTGAGAACAGCTTGCCATGATAGACTTAAACTAGATGACTTCCAAGTTCTTGTTCAGACACGTCCAGTGCAATTTCTTATAGAACAAAACTTGTTTGATATTTTTTGGTTTGTGGAGGGGAGTGAGAAATGTTGCTTTGCCAATGAGCTTATCTACTTCTGTGGATTCTTAGGACAGGAATCCTCCCACAGCTACAATAGCTAATTTTCCCAGAACTCAGTGTATTTAATTCAGTGCTAAAAATTATCACTAGTGTTTCTCTAAATGCACATTTTTGAGTAGTTTGTGGATTGAGACCAAAGCCCTGAGGTAATTGGGGAAGCGGGTGCCCTGGAGGAAGCACAAGCAGGAAGGGATGTGAGGTTGCCTTATTCTGTCTGAGAAGTGGTGAAATTGTCTGGTTACCTCCATGAATACACAGAGCCTGGGAAACAAATGAGAAGAATCGGAAGGCCTTGCACAGTCAAGGAACTATGATGCGACTGAAATAACAGACTTGGTGGCGTAGCTCGCTTGACTGAAGCACTCATGGATGAGTGCAAACTTTTCAGGAAGGACAGGCAGGGGAGAAGAGGAGGAGTTACACTGTGTAAAAGAGCTATATGATTGTCCAGAGCTCCAGTATGAAACTGGAGATAGGCCTGTTGCAAGTCTCTGGGTATGGGCCAAAGGCGGAGAGCAGCAAGCATTACATCATGATGGGTATGTTCTCTAGACCTCCAAACTAGGAGGATGAGGGAGAGGAGGCTTTCTTCAAACGGATAGTAGAAGTTTCCCAATCACAGGCCCTGGTTCTTGTGGGGGACTGCAGTCACCTTGATATCTGCTGGGCAGTGCACAGGCAATCCAGGAAGTTTCTGGAGAGTGCTGGGGACAACTTCCTGGTTTAAGCATTGGAGAGGTCAGCTAGAGGCCCTGCTCTTCTTGACCTACTGCTCATAAGTGGGGATGAATTGGTGGGGAATGTAGTAGTAGTAGTAGTAGTAGTAGTAGTGGATGGCAACTTGGGCAGCAGTGACCATGAGATGATTAAGTTCAGGATCCTGAGGAAAGGAAGGATGGAGTGTAAGGACTCTGGATTTTGAATCTCTCAGGAAACTGATGGGTAGGATCCCCTAGGAGGCCAGTTCGAGGGTGAAAGGAGTCCAGGAGACCTCGATGTACTTTTAAGAAACCTTACTGAAGGGGCAGGAACAAACCATCCTTATGCACAGGAAGACTAACAAATAAGGCAGAAGACCAGCTTGGGTAGCA